TTTAACGTCTTTCATCATGCCAAGTTGTTTAGCGGGGTTAATGAACATGTGACATATCTGGTTGACGAATTCATCCATTTTAACCTGGTCCAACTGACCCGGATCTATTGCAGTGATGCTAGCATTAATCTCCCTAATTGTATTTTCATCAAAACAATCTTTATATTTCTGGGACAAGTTTGGAATCCACTTGGGACGTACGTGAGTAGCAGTGTTATTACATTTTGTATTGGCTGATATATCGACAATTGGGGTTGCATTGGATACATAGTTTGATTTCAAAGTTAAGCATATAGGACTGTGCTTATCCGATAATAATTTATCAAAGACATCAACATAGAAATTAGTAGCATTTATAAACAACTGAGGTGAGGCAAGTATATAATCTACCAAACTCGAATCAGCACAGGTTAAATTGCCACATCCAAGGTCATCCCCAATACGTCCATTCACAATATGGATATCTAAACTTTTACATAATTCAACAAGTTTATACCCATTGTTATTTGTCGATTTATCACAGCTGTATCTATCAGTACATAAGCCTAGTGACTCCATGTCAAATTTTGTATTACAGATATCACCATTTTCTTCAATGGCTATAACACCAAAGTGATCAGCATTTAAAAAAATCGTCTAACAAACCAGTTCTAGCATTATGATCTCCAACCAATAAAGTCGGCAAATCGTATAAACACTTAATATTAATCAGATCATCTGCGATATTGTATACAATGACACGCTATGGCCATATGACGCATGCGCAGGTGACGACTCCCCCGCTTTAATTACTATTTTTGCACTGAAATTTATGTACGCATAACTACCTTTTGGTCGAAAACAGGCTCATCTAGCAAATAATGAAAATGTGAAATGCTTTTATGCAGAAAAATACAGTATTTTCACCAAGTAAAATTATATTTATGGTTTATACTTGAGTCGTTGACACACTGAATAGTTTCAGCTTTTTTTCAGTCATAAATCAAGACAAATAAAATGCAAAAATATAGAGAATATAATTTTCTTGTCAAAATCAGTTCTCTGGAAATTCAAAAATTCAGTAGCGTACGTGAGCTCGCTTCTGACATTGTAACTGACCCACTTGGGTATCAATCGGAATGCGTTTTTTTACTATGTTGAAAACTCGTTAAAACAAGTGTTTACCTTTATGGTCATAAATCCCATAATATGCGCCACCTCCTCGTTAATATGTCTGCTTTAGTTATTCCCGAGAGCTAGATTTGAAACATTAACGATCACTTATATCAGAAAGTATTATCTACACAAATAAACGATTAACTTCAAAAACTTGTAACAATTCCAACATTATGTATACAGATAAACATTTGGCAGGTCGTAATCTAAGTTTGTATTTCCACAGGTGTACGGCCGACTTACTGGTTTCCATATAACGGGTAAGTCACTTTGCGTTCTCAAATGAATCCCACATAATAAACCAGTGTTTAATAATCAACATAATATACATGTATTCTGGTTTTCGCATGCAAAATATTATTGATGTTTGGGCACAAATGGCAGAAATAACATCTAAGGATTAGACCAGTTGTTATGAATAGTTTACAAAATTATTAAAACTTATGGCTGTCATTTTAATTTACAGCAAACATGAAAAATAAATACGTTTGACGCATTAATTTTACTAGTGGTTTATAACATTTGTTGACGCACCCTACAGTTATCTATGAATCTGTATCTAACCCCGTCAATGATTTGAATAGTGGACGTGTTTGCCAACCGTCATTTCCAATCTTGCTGCATAACTACGCTCTGGAACCATGGTGATAGCAGTGATAACATTCCCATAGTCCTTCCTCCATCGATGTGAATAATTTTTGTTCCTACTGTAGTGACACAAGCTATGAACAGAGAGTTGATATTGTTCTTGGATGGCTGACAATGCAAGAAGAAAAAAGGTGAAAGTGAATGATATAATTATGATACCTTATCATACATCACTGGCAATGACTTTGACATTCCTGTACAAGGCGCGGAATGTAAATTTATTATTTTGTGTATACTAGAAGAAAACGTACTAATAATTCAAAATTACGTACGTATTG